GACCACAGACCTGTATACACAGGAACTGAATTCTATACCAACACCTGCAGGAGCTTAGAAAAGGACCCTGAACTCAGAAAGGAATCCAGTCCAGGTAAGGCCCAGTTACATAGGCTAATGAGTCCCTGAGCAGAGGTTATCCACCCACTAATTGTTGGGGACCCCTGCTGTGTGAAGTAGCAGTCTCTCCATGTCCGGAAAGCTCACGAGCTTGGTTTCATATGCAGAAGACTCCTTTTAACAGCAGTGTGTCTTTCCTAGCATTTTCCTGACTCACCTTTTTGAAGTGCCCGCCACAAATGCCCTAACATAAACATGGCCTCTGGCTCTGGAAATGCAATGCTTTTTCAGGTTGTCTGGCAGCATGGCAGGAGCCCACTTCCATATGTAAATAGGGTATCTCGCAAAATGCCTATCAGCTAAAAGCTTTTACCACTGCCCCTACAGTATAAAATATCCTAGTCTTCTCTCAATATTTTGGAGCTAGAAGCGGAGCTGGAGCTAGAGCAGGAACTGGGTCACTGAGACTTGGAATAAAGAGCTGTAACACTAAATCTGACTGGACTGGGTCCTGTGTCTCCTGCCTGCAATCTAGTCTCCCCGGGGGACAGCATTCCTCCATCACCGACTCACGGACTCCCAGCTTCAGCCGCCCCATACTTTCCCGCGTGGTCCAGCGGCCGGTGGAACTCGCATATTGAGGAAAGTACACGGGTGAAATAAGGGTGGGACCCGGCTGGACAAAGCTCCAGCAGTAGAGAGCCATGGAAGATGCAGAGAAGCAGCAGAGAAGCTGAGACCCGCTGCCACAACAGAGACGCAGAGCCACGGTGCTGCAAGACCTTCAGCACCTCAAGCGGCGGACAGCGACGCGCGACTGAGAATCCCCGCGGAACTCACTGCCTTCCAGGGCACGTGCAGGGGACCGATCCCCACGGGACCGTGAGTCCCATAACCGATTACTTGTGTGGAAATCATAATGGTGACTTTGACAAATAAAGCCATTGTATTAGTCAGGATCTATGAAGGAACAGAACTTATAGAATGAGTATATACATATATATGTATATATTTTAAAAGGACTTGTTAAATTGGCTTATAGGATATGGTCTGGGTAGTCCAACAATGGCCATCTCATACTAGAGAGGTCAAGAATCCAGGAGTTGCTCAGGTCACAAAGCTGACTGTCTTAGCTGTCTCAATCTGGCGTTGAAGGTCTGGAAGGTTTTTGGAGAGCTGCTTTTCTTCAGTCTACAGTGGAACTTGAAGAAGCTTATTCTAATATCGGTGAATGAATGCAGCAGTAACAGGATAGATGAACTTCCCAGCAAGAGTGAAAGCAATCAGGAAAAAAGCAAAATTTCTTTCACGTCCTATTATCTGGGCTGCCTCCAGAAGGTGCTGCCCACATTTAAGGTGGGCCTTCCCACTTCATATAATCTGATTAAGAAAGTTCCTCGCAGGAATGCCCAGCATCTTGCATTTTAGTTGATTCCAAATCTGGTCAAACTGGCTACCAAGATAGCCATCACAGTCAATTTTCTGGGACTGCTCAAAGTCCAGTGCTCTTTCTGCTTAAAAAATACAAGCATATTGAGTAACGAAAGCTTCTACTGTAGGGTAAATTAATTTATTACAGTTGCAAAAGAAAAGAGGATTTCATGAAAATTAGAAGCAGGCCTTCTGGAAAGTCCCATTATACACTGTTATCTATACAATAATCTCAGTCATATATTATAGGATCTAGTCATGGCAAAGAGAAAGAAAATAAAGTCTGGCCTAATTAGTTTGGCTTATTCATAAAGGAAGGAAGAACAGAAGTTCCAGTGGTTTATGGCTTTGCTTTATGGACTCACTCAGAATATGTTGGTCTTTTCGAATTTTGCTTGTCAAACAGTATGCCTACACAAATGTAAATAAGGTGTAAAACAGAATTGTTTGTGTAGATTTCTTTTGTTTTTAGAAGCTTTGCAATACACAGAGAAATTCACCCTCAATAGGATCTTGTTATCATGAGCAGCAGCCCTCAGGTTTGCCAGCATCTGCTAGGCAGGAAGGCCAGGTGGCAGCATGCCTTTGCACCTTCTCATTTGAAACCGCCAAGCCATAAGCAGGAGACTGGATTCCGTTCCTCCGCCTCTTTATTTAGCAGTTTAGTACTGTGCAGCATTCTCTATGGAGTGGTGGGAGGCAATAAATAAAGGAAAACCACATCTTGTTTCCCAGCAGTCCAGCCTTCTCTCACATCTTCTGTGTATGCTTGGGCTTAATTTTGTCTTTTTGCACATTTCTCAAGTATATTTCTGATCTTTGTGTCAGAAAAGAGATGCAAGCTGTGATATGGCACAGCTGAGGGCAGGAACTCATAGGAAGGAAGGGGCTGTTGTTAGAAATGAGACTTGCAGAGATCCAACCAAACCTTACCCCACAGTGTATTTACCTCACATTGCCTCTCTAGCAAATTCACCAGAGTTAATAACTTAGACTGACACATATCAGCTTACCTTTGTAAAGGTTAGACATCATAACATCAACATGTTCCTTGGGTTACTAGAAGAGACTCATCTTTTTCAGCTTCTGGAAGCTCTGTCTTTATTCCTAGGATCTCTGCTCCTTCCTCTGCCTTCAAAGCCAGAAGCATAGTCTGTCTTCCTTCCCTCCTTCCTTCTCTCTCTCCCCTGCACCTTTAGTGATTACATCTTCTCTGATTACCCTGCCCCGCCCCGCCACTTACAGGGACCTTTTATAATTCCACAGAGCCCACCTGGATACTTGAGGATATTCTTTCCTATCTCCATATCCTTAAATTAATAATATACAAAAAGTTCCATTGTCACATAACAGATTCTAAGGATTAGGACATGGACACCCTTGGACATCATCTGCCTATGTCACAAAGTCAAGTTAGTAGAAAAAAATGTTTACCTCGTTTACACCTTGAGTCAGATACTTCATTCTGCAACTTTGTTTTCCACTTCAGGAGCATGTTTTCACCTTCATTTCCTTATAAAATGATGGTGGCGTTCACTCACTGACATTTTTCTGAGGGCTGGTAACTCTTTAAATTTTTTTAAAATGTATTGTTATTTGTGAGTACTTTGCGTACTAGTAAGTGCACCCTTGTTGTGCAATGCAGGTGGAGTCCAGAAAAGGGCATCATATTCCTTGGAACTGGGAGTTAGCTGCCATGTGGGTGCTGGGAATTAAAGGGCTGGTAACTCTTGAAGATAACCAACCCCACTTTTGCCTTATTCCTGGTCTTCTCATTCCAGGGATAAGGCCTTCACTCTACATTCCAGAGGTCTTGCTAGAATGTGTGAATTGCAGAAGAGCCACAAGCCTCATTAGGGAAAGCCATAAATCCCTTAAAGTGTCTAACTGGCCCTAAATTGGCAGCCTGGCCTTGCTCAAGCCTTATCAAATGGTCACTCCTGGGACTGAGAGAGACAGTTTGTGGAGTCCACCTGTCTCCTTTAGTGCTCTAGATAACTCACCTGCCTGTCTGAGAAAAGAGACCCTCAAGGACACCAAAACCGGGGCACTAATTCAACTCCCCACAAAGTGCAGCTGTGTCTGACAACTTTCATATAAAAAAACCGCTGGTTCCTTTGTCCAGTGGTAGAAGCTTAGTTCCCAAGGTCAGCCACTACCTCTCACTGTAACTTCTTTGAATAAAGGAAGACATATTCCTTGCCTGTTACAGATCTGGCTCTGTTTTGTTGTCTCCTACTTTCTCTATCTTTCCTTTTATTCTCCAAAAATCTAACAGGTCTTGCCTTCAAAAGAACAGGCCATCAATCACTAAAAGATGCCACAAAACCTCAGACTGTTTGTCTTAAGCTCCTGGAAAATGCTGGTCCTCATCAATAACCTCCTACTTCCTCAAAGATTTGAACGGTGGTGGTAAGACATGTTAAAACATTTGCCTCTTTAGGTTGCTTGCAGCCTGAATAAAACCCACTTCCTTTCCTCCTCTTGGGAATTAGTTTTCCAGGAATGCAACAGTGTTTGGGGCCCGAAACAAATAAGCAGACACTGGCCTCTTATTGAACTTGAGCCAATTGCCGTGCGTGGTTATTTTTCAGAGCTAAACCTTCCTCCTTATAGAACTAAATGTGGTAATACTTTCCTTTCTTGTAGTGCAGGGCATGGAAAGCAGACAAGTCTAGCTTAAGTCCTGCCATTATCTTGCAGCACGTATTCTTACTTGAGTCACATAAATTGAGAACCAACAATGAATACCACGCATCACTTTAGTGATTAAAAAGCAACAAAACGCTGCAAAGCTTTGTTACCCTGTAACGTCCGAGGTTAGAAATGAATTTTTATTATTTAGTTGCTTTTATTGTTTTTTTATTTGAGACAGGGTCTCCCTGTAGCCCCAGCTGGCCCAGAACTTGCTCTGTAGATCAGGGTGGCCTCGAACTCACAGAGATCCAGCTGCCTCTGCCTCCCAAGTGCTGAGATGAAAGGCCAGCGGCACCACGTCGGGCTATTTGGTTGTTTGGGGGACTATGACTAGACTAGTCTAGAAGTTGCAATCCTCCTCCGTCAGAGTCCAGAGAGCTGGGACTACAGGCAAGGGCCACCACACCAGGCTAAAATTTATTTTTAATGTCACTTCTATAGAAAGAAAGGGAAACCTTTCACCTTGGTTACCTGTAGACACTTTTATCCCTAGTTTTTCGAATACTAGGCAGTATAGTCACCTTTCTGTCTCACATAGCCGAAAACCGGGTATTTACTTCCAGAGCCCCGACAGGAGGCAGTGTAAATAAAGCCTGCGCACCCCACGACTGCTCCAGCTAATATGCTGGGCGGTTTCCAGAAGCAGCGGAAGGAGGCTCGTCAATGCCCTCAGTCTCCGAGCAGAACTGACATTCCTGTAGAAAACTGACCATTCCATTGGCTAGCTTTACAGGCGCTAATAAAGCACCGCAGGCGAACCCTGGGCGGCAGAACCAATCCCGGCCGCACAGAGTCTCGCGAGGCTTGCAGTTTGCCTCTATGACGTCACCGCCCGGGGTTGTTTGCAGCCCGGAGGGGGCAGAGCCCGAGCTGCGGCTTCTAGTTGCCTGTCCGCTGCTTTTTTAGCCAACATGAGCGGCCTGGAGCGGGAGGAGGGGACCCCTGACCCCCACAGCCAGGACCTCACCCTTGCCGACTGTATCCGGGGAGATCCGGGCCGGTGCGCTGCGACCCCGCTGAGGGCGGAGACAGGTGAGCGCGGTACGGAGACCGCGGCCAGCCCCGCGCCCCATCCTGTGCGTGTCGCGGGCTGTGGCCTTTCCCCGCAGGTCCAGGACGGGATGGGGCTCCGCAGCGATCTGATGGCGACGGGACAGGAAGAGACCCCGCCGACCACCGGCGGCCTGGAGCCGGCTTCTGTGCTGGTGACACCGGAGGGCAGCCCGAAAGCTGGTTGTTTTCAAGGTGGGGAGAAGGCCCTGGAAACTTGGGGTGCGGAAGGGATGGTGGCGGCTCAGGCAGAGGAGCTGAAGACTCAGAAGTGCCCGAGCTCAGTAACAGGGGAAGAACAGAGGTCTGAAGTGCTGAAGGCAGGCGTGAAGGCGGTAGTGGAGGAGGTGATGGAAGACGTGATGGAGGTGGAGAAACCAGCAGGTGAGGAAATAGAGATGACGGAGGAAAACCGAGTGGTGAGGGAGGTGAAGGAGGACGCAGGACCCTGGGTCCTGGATATGGCTCTCCGCATGAACCCTCTGGAGGCCATCCAACTGGAACTGGACACTGTGAATGCCCAGGCTGACAGGGCCTTCCAGCAGCTGGAGCAGAAGTTTGGGCGGATGCGGCGACACTATCTAGAGCGGAGGAACTACATCATTCAAAATATCCCAGGCTTCTGGATGACTGCCTTTCGGAACCACCCTCAGTTGGCCTCCATGATTAGGGGCCAGGACGCAGAGATGTTAAGGTACATAACCAATTTGGAGGTGAAGGAACTGAGACACCCCAGAACTGGCTGCAAGTTCAAGTTCTTTTTTCGAAGAAACCCCTACTTCAGAAACAAGCTGATTGTCAAGGAGTATGAGGTCAGATCCTCTGGCCGAGTGGTGTCACTTTCCACTCCAATTATATGGCGCAGGGGCCATGAACCCCAGTCTTTCATTCGCAGAAACCAAAACCTCATCTGCAGCTTCTTTACCTGGTTTTCAGACCACAGCCTTCCAGAGTCTGACAGAATCGCTGAGATTATCAAAGAAGACCTGTGGCCAAATCCACTGCAATACTACTTGCTAAGGGATGGAATCCGGAGACCCAGACGTCGCCCGATAAGGGAGCCAGTGGAGATTCCCAGGCCTTTTGGGTTCCAGTCAGGTTAATCTTGGCCTTCGGGAGTACAGCCTCAGCAGGTCCCTTCCCACCTGTGCTTGAGCAAAAGTATGCTGTTGACCCTTCTGCGTCCTCTGCCTGGATACTTGTTCCTCAGAACTGATTGGACTGTTGTGGACGTGCCCCTCCCACTTTCACATGACCTTCGTGTATTAGTATCTTTGGTTCGTGGCCATGGTTTACACCACCTCTAAACTGATGAAATGTTACTGTAGATTGCACTACCTTTACACTGCTTGGACCCAGTTTTTCTGTCTAACCTGCTGCCTTCACTTGTATTTCTGGCTTTGTCTAGGGGATATTTTCTCTTTGTCCTGCTCAGCATGTGGCAGTAGGGGCACAGTTTGTAAACAAATACTGGCCATTAATGATGTCACAGAACAATAGGCTTTCTGTGTGATTTTTGTTGCTATACTTTTCCTCTGCTACTGATTACTTTCTAATTATTGCCTGCTGTCTGCTATAAGCCTCCATTGGCTGTGGGCAAAGTTCCTCAATATCGCTTTTTCTTCCTTTCTCCTGCTATTTTAAAGAAAAAGTAGTTCAGAAAATCTTCAAAAGCAGGCTTTTTAGTTCCTTTTGACACTTAGCATTTCCAGAGAGGTTGCTTTGTAAGGTAGGCTACAGAGTTCTGACTGCCCCCCTCTGCTCTCTTCCAACTCCCCAGCCTGTAAGCGGCTTACAGGGAGACAGAACTAGACAGTCAGAGGTGAGAGCTACTGCATAGTGAATGGAAGAACTAAAGAGATTGTGATGGGCGCCCTAAGCAGAGGAAAGTGAACTGAAAAGGCTTAGAATCAGAAATGAGTCATAAAACTTGGGAATGAAGACTGGTCTGACTGATTTTGCCAGTGGTGACAGGAGAAGAAATACCTTCTCAGGATTGCATAGAAAAGTCCTAGAGAGTTTTGAGTGATAAAAATGTTGCTTAGACAATGTTTCTTTAAAGAATCAGTGCAAGTTTGGATTTTGTCTTTCTAATATGTGAACTGATGTATGTGGAAATTTAATATTGTGCCCTTATTTAAAATATTTAGTAAAAAACTGCTTCTGTTTGCTAGGAATATTTAACTGTACAGGCTTGCTTCTGCTTTTTGGAACCAGTTGGAAGAATAGTCTTTGCTTTATAATACTGAGGCTTAAATGAATATTCATAACAGTTTTCAGTTTGATTCTGTTAGTCTAAGTTCTCAGAAACAGTTTGAATAATTTGGCCTTTATCAAATTTGTCAAAATTATCTTTATGGAAAAATAAATATATGACTTGGTTGTCTTGATTGTCTTTTAAATTGAACAGCAGTTCTAAGATTACTCTGTCAAATTAGAAGTGCACCACAGGCATATTTGTCATCCTTTACATGCATGATGGTAAATAAAAGCATGCTACTTTGCTAGATGGCTTATTTTTCACCCTGTCCTTAAACCTGCTTTAATGAGATTGTCATGTCATTGGTAAGATTATGAATCACAAAATTTCCTAGATGGACACAGTAGACATTATCCCAAAGGTATGAGCACAGTGCTGGATCTCCCAAGGGGAGGAGAGGTAGCTTTAAAAGGTTAACAGATGAAACTGCTTGAGATGCCACTTCTCTCCATATAACTGTGCAGCACTCTCACCTTTCCCTTCCTCAAATTCATCATTTCTGTCTCTATAAATAATATTTTCAGCTGTTTCTTTTATTCACATGTGTGCAGTTCATAAGCAGACATTTAGGGAGTACTTACCATGTAATATGCTATTGCCAGACTTCCTCACCAATGAAAACTTCATTTCCTCACACTTTCCCACCATCCTTTTCTATTTGTCAAACCCTGCGAGGCTTGTCATAATAACTACCTTGTATTCTTTTTGTTCCCCAGTGGGGGATAAATTTTGTGTCTATACTTTTTAGGGATTCCCGTTGCTAGAAAATAACATAATTACTCCTTATAGTGAATTTTACAATTTTTTAGGGGTTGGGGGAGTTTGAGATAGGATCTCCTTGTAGCTCCAGCTGCCCTGGAATTCCCTATGTAGACTAGGCTGGGGCTGGGAATAAAGGTGTGTGCCACCACACCTAGCCCTCTACAAATTTTTATGGATTCTGCTAGGCCTTAAGAAGTAAAAAATAGGGACTAGGGAGGTGGCTCAGTGGTTAAGAGCACTGACTGCTCTTGTAGAGGACCTCAGTTCGGTTCCTAGCACCCACATGGTGGCTAACAATTCTAAGTGCAGTTTCAGGGGATCCAATGCCCTCTTCTGACCTCAGGGCATTCATTGCACAACACTGGTGAACTTATTCACATGCAGGCAATATACTCATACACATAAAAAAATATTTTTTAAAGTAAAAGACAAAAAGCAAATAGGTATATTGTATTCTTTTTAGTGCTAAGGAACAAAGAATGGTGACACAAATACCTTTTTTTCACATTTTCAGACAAAAAGCAAATAGGTATATTGTATTCTTTTTAGTGCTAAGGAACAAAGAACAGGTTGACACAAATACCTTTTTTTCACATTTTCACTCTTAAGAGTTTAGAAACCTCGTGAAAGTAGATTTCCCTGCCCTTCATCTAGTATGCTCTGCCACATATCTGCCAGCAGGTAAATATTAAATGACAGAATGAACAACACAGATGAAGGAAAGAAATATCCAGAAAGAATAAGGAAATGGAAAGTAGCTTTTGTCATCTTGCCTTAAAAAGCATGGTGATGGGGGAGGGGGTGCTGGGGAGATAGTTCAGTGGTCAAGAGCATTCTTGCAAAGGACCCGGGTTTAATTTCCAGCACCCACATGGTGGCTGATAACTCCAGTTCCAGGGGACCCAACGCCCTCTTCTGGCCTCCAGGGACATTTCTTGACTGTGGTACATTTAGTGCATGCACACAAAACACTCATACACATTAAAAAAAACAAAAAAAAAAAACCAAAAAAACAAAAACATGGTGATGGTTTTCAGACATTAGTAAAAATGTTAGGAAAATTTGCAAAGCCATTTGGTAAGTAATAAAAATTTTCATTTAATGATTTGAAAAGATCTAGACATTTGAATGTTTCATCTTTCACCTGCTATAGTAACATAACACTACTTATTTGGTGCGCCCTTTCATAAAGGTAAAATTTTTTTAAGGTAACTATTAAACTGGAGATAGGATGTTAGACTCTAGGCATGTGCTATACAGTATGGTGGTTACCAGCTGGTATTTGGGCATATCTGTCTGCTCTATACACTGAATTTCAAAGACAATGTAGAAAAAGTAAGATATTTCAATTTTTCATTTTAATTGTATATGGAGACTTTGGAATGGGCTAAATATATTAATAAAATTAGTTTCCCCTGCTCTTACATTTTTTAATGTGGCCAATAATAACTATGTAGGATAGTCCTTGGTAGTGAATCTCAAAGCATATATAATATTTTAAAACATTACTATTGTTTTCTTCCCAGGATTTTTTTTTTTTTGTGATTCCTTGTAAGTCAGAGGTTCCCTGGGTAAAACTAAAGGTCAGTAAACTATAACCAAGTTAAAAAGAGGGTAGAATAGTTTAAGTGATGAGTGTTTTAGTGACTTGAGTACCTAGGATACTCAAGTAGCTTGCAAAATGTACTGCTCAATTCAGTATATTTCTAGATATAAGTAGGGTAGGTGAGTCCTAAATTGACATTAATAGATTTTTTTTTTGGTCTTTTTGAGACAGGGTCTCTCTGTAGCCCCAGCTGGCCTGGAACTTGCTATGTAGACCAGGCTGGCCTTGAACTCATAGAGATTCGCCTGCCTCTGCCTCCCAAATGCTAGGATTAAAGGCATGTGCCACCACGCCTGGCTGGATTGTATTTTGTAAATTCTAATTTTTTAAAGATTAGTGTAGCTTCTATTTTTCTAAAATAAAATGGATCTCTATTCTCTATCCTATAGATATGTATCATATTCAAAACTGCATTTATTCCAGCCATTAAACATATTACCATTAAACGTATTACTCCATATTTTAATAATTGTCTAGCAAAAGGAAGAGACTATCATGTGAGTTTAGCATCACAGTAAGTCAATTTCATGAATGCTCACCACTTGAAGGAACATACTTTGCTTTTGGAAACTAGTGTGGTATGGTAATTGTAGCAATCTTAATTATTGTTTCTTTGACACTATAAGGATTGAATGAGATGCTCTTGAGGTGCTCACTGAAGGGAGTGCCATTCAGTCGATGTTTTCTTCTTGACTCCTGTTGATCTCCATTTGCTCTTCTCTAGAAAATACACACAAACAAATTCAGGGGCGGGGAACAAACCGACGAAGAGGAGGTACCAGAGACTGTTAGGACTACTCCCTTTACTATTGAGCCCTAGATTGTGTAGAAGTGACAGATGTATATGTATATTTTTTTAAACTTGGGAGCAGTACTATCTTCATGTTTAAGTGCTTTGTTTGAGCTCTGAGCACTACTCCAGTTCCAGGGGATCCGGCACCCTCTTCTTACCTCCAAGGGTATTGCATGACATGGGTGCACTTACATATATGCACGCAATTCATACAAACACATAAAATAAAAATAATAATTTTAAAAAACCGAAATGGGTTGTGTAGATAAGTTACTCATTTTTATAAATACTTAGATGATTTAGAAATGGCCTGATGAACAGGTTAGAAGCTAGTTTTAAATTGAGATTATCTATTAAATATCTACTAAAATATCTATTTTAGAACTCTCATACACAGCATTAACCAAAATAATGTACTTTGAATCTCAGTTTTCTTACTCATAAAGGTTCTAACACTGCATTATAAGCTAATGTTCCAGGATGTATTTGGACAATACATTATAAGGTCGTAGAGAAGATAATAGTACAAATTTGAGAGCTTCTCATGTGCCTGACACTGCTAAAAGAGTCCAAGTATTTACAGAGTTATAATGAGAACATTGGGTTCAAAGTATCAAGTGCTTGACACTATGTAATTAACAAATATTTCTACTCATTTTCCTTGTTATTTTAACTTCCTTTAATTCACACCCTGACAATAATGTTTCTCAAACCTGGCTGCCCATGGTATACATATGTGTTCTTTGAAAAAGTACTGATTTGTGGGATTCCTCCCAAACAAATTAGACCTTAAGATACAACCAGGTTTACTTCTTTGAACTCCTCAAATGAGGGAATTCTACTTCCTTCTCTTTTGTCAAATTGACTCAGAAGTTTACCATTTTAGAACTCTATAATGGAACATTACTCAGCAATTAAAAGAATGTAGAGGTTCTCATGATCCATTATAAGCAGTGAATAAATCTCAAAAACTACTGGTCAAACCAAAGAAACTGTACCTACACGAGCTTTTTATTTATCAGCACTAGGCCAAAATTGATCTTACTGAAGGTTTTTTAACTTACAAATTAAGAGGCAGGTAATCCTCATCCCTAAAGTCTATTCAGGATGTATTATCTTGAAAATAGTATTAATATACTCAAATGTACATTCCCTAGGGTACTGCCAAAAATCTGAGCTTTCCATTTTTGAACATTATAATGTCCACAAAACAAAAGACGTTTTCAGATACCTTCAACTCCAATTTCTTCCTCTTTAACACCCTAAAGCAATGAGTTATTAAAGGCAGTTCTCTAGCCAGCAGCATTAGCACCATATGGATCTCATTAGAATGCAAAATTTTAGGTCCCACTCTAGATTTATTGTGGGGAGGAACTGGAGGTGGGGTTCAGCAACCATGCTTAATCATGCTCTAGGCTGGAGATGTCCAACATTTGACTTCTCTGAGCCACATTAGACAAAGAATTATCTTTGGCCACACATTAAATACACAAACAATAAAACATGATGAGAAAAAATTAAGATGAGGTCTGTAATTTTCATGATATTCACCACCAAGATAAAGAAAAGAAGTCCTCACATAACGACCCTAACTATACAATTCCATTTAGAGGTCTTTTTAAAAAATATTTTATTTATTATTTTTATTTTATGTGTATGAGTGTTTTGCCTGCATGTAGGTAGGTGCACCCATATCCTGCAGTACCCACCAAGGTCAGAAGAGAGAGTCCAATCCCCTGGAACTTGAGTTATGGACAGTTGTTAGCCACTATATGGGTGGTGGGATTCAAACCTCAGTTCTCTGCAAAAGCAGCCAGTGCTTTTAACCACTGAGCCATCTCTACAGGCCCCATTTGGAGGTCTTTTAAAATTGTTCAAGCAAGTCCAAAGTTCGCAATCACTAGTAAAATGAACACATCTAAGTAATAAAACCTAACTAATTTTTAAATGTTTCTATTATAAAAGTAAAAGAAAAGGGCAACATAACACTACTGGGGTATTTGACACTGTAGCTGAGAAACTAATGCATCAATATCTGGCTCAGTGAAAGTGGTTGGAATTCTCACTTCTGCTCTCAGATGTTCCA